ACTATGCATGTATTTGGTGCAAAATTTTCAAATTAGACAGGTGAGTCATAATTTCAGCTTGGTTAAAGCCCACTTTCCATGAGAGTCGACTTGTTGGTAGTATATGGATGACACACACGTAAAATAATTAATTTGAATAATTGACAAAGTCACTCATCATGGTGGCTATACTTAGAAACTGGTCTCAATGCAACCTAATCCCTATGCATGAAAGTACGTTTATCATTATTTAACATATTTTTTAAACATATTTTTACTCTTTTAGATGTGATATGTCAAGGCTTCAAAACTACTGGGAAACTCAACATGGTCGATCAATTGAGGACATAAAAGAATGCGCTTTAAAAGGTCATTTTTCTTGTCAATTCCAACCTCTGCTCAATATAAAGTTGGAAAATGTTGTTCTTGATGAACTACATTTAATGCTTCGAATCACAGGTATAAAGAATTAAACTAAATGATGAGCAATATGTCTAGTGGAAAATATATATATGACAGTTTTTGCACTTCAATTATTTTTAGCTCTGGTTAGCCATGGCGCACTCTGGCAAATGTTTTGATAATAAACAAACCAAATCTTATATAATATATTATGTTTATTTCAGATAAGTATAATCTTACTTGCAATGTGACACTTTTACTGTTTAGATGTGTTGACAAAAAGCTTAATTAACCAAGCTCTTGAATGGGATATAAAGGACAACATACCCAAAGCTCCCAAAAATAGGTCAAACCAACACCTAACAGACCTGGTTAGGTCAATAAATGAATGCGGAGTCACATTTAATGTCTGGGAGAAAAAGAATGCAGATGGGAAAGGCAGTGGGGTATATGATTTTACTAGCCTAATGGGTGCAGACAAGAAGCTATTATTGAAGCACCTCCCAGAAAAGTTAAAGAATTGCATTGAGGCAACACATAGCGATGCTGTAATTAGTTTGTGGAAGGTATTCTTGCAATTGTAAATAATAAATTATATCAAGGAATATCTATGTGAGAGAGAAAATTATGGATTACAGTTTAAAACATTTTTTTCCATTTTAGGATTTCAGTCACATTTACCAAATGGTAAATGAGCCTAATCCTTCAGCTTCACATATCGATGAACTATTCAAACAGGTTAGATACTCTACTTTTATGGTCTTGGCTAAGGCCTCCTGCAATGATCAACGTATAATAGAAGCTATAGATTGCAACAGGAAATTGGCTTCTGAATTCCCTTTCTGTATTTTGTGCCAACAAAATGTCCAGTGTGTGTGTTATAACTATATCCCAAATGCTTTCAGGCTATCCTTCATGCAGCTCTATTCTAAAGTGGAAAATATTATGCTTAGTATATTTCTCCTAATATCAATTATAGGCTTCTGCTTGGGTTAAGCTATTTGTATCGCTTAGTGGTATAGTCGAAGGGTGTGGGAAGAAACAGGTCACACCATACATGCATTGCTTGGTTTATCATGTGCCAAACTTTATGCAGAAACATGGTGGTATAAAGAAGTTTACAGGGCAAGGTAATATTTGTCATATTTGTTTAGTTTAACTAATCTGAACAAGTATTGTATATTATCAACAATTCTTTTCACTGAATTTAAAGGGGTAGAGAAGAAGAATGATGACGTACGGAAATTCCATTTGACCAAATCGAACAAGTGGGATGCACCTAAAGATGTCCTGCTTGTGGGCAAACGGTTACAGGTGACCAGTGAACAAGAAAGAACAACAAGATCCTACTACAAAAGGAATATTGATTATTGGTCACATGAATTAAAGAAGCACGAAGTAAAAGGCGCAGGAAATTGTTATATTTCTCCTAGTTCCTGTCCTGCATCGCAGGAAAGCAATGCAGAAGACACTTTAGATGTTGAAAGTCTATCAATTGCAGAAATCAAGGAAAAGTTGAAGGAATTGGGAGTGCAAACCCGTGTTAGGAAACTTGAGAAGTTGAAATACATTCTGCAAAAAGCACTCCAAGACTGAAAAATTACTTAAATTAATATTTAGATTCATTATATCAGAAGTATGTACACATTAAAATCAAAGTTCTAGTCTACATTACGAGTTCAGAATGTTTTCCTGATTGCAAGGTCTTCTAGCAAATGATATGCTAATTTTCTCAATAGGAAATCTAGGTGTTTCCACAAGCTGTGTGCCTCTAACAGCATGCTTCTTAGGTGACCAAAGAAGTACGGCCTTAGCCTTCAAAGGGAAATCTATTTTTCTGCCTTCACCTTGTTCTGATAAGTAGTACCACCAATCAGACGGAAGCATGTGGAATCTGTTAAAGTCTCTTCTTTCATAAAGAAAATAGCCTCGGTGCTCACATTGTACTCCTTTACCTTGGACAATATATCGCCAGATATCCAGGTCTATTTCAATGAGGCAATTTGCAAGTGCTTTTGATTTTAGCATGCCAGAAATGCCACTAGAAAACGCTCTGGTTGCGTGTTCCAATCGAGCCATGGTGGGTTTGGGTGGTCTTTCATAACCCCTAGAGATAAATTACAGTTTTTGTCATTATAAACATTCAGAATGATTTTTAAACTAAAAACGGAATTGCACAACTTGCCTCAATAAATCATTGGTCAAGTGTACAGATGGTTCCCATGTACTGGATTGGATTGACCATCCTACCCATTTGATAAGATATGAAAAGTCCTATAAAATATTATCAATATAAAGCATATTAAATATAACAATTGGTTGAGGGCTATTACAAAACATTGCCCATGGCCATGGTTTATTTATTTATTATTATATCTTCAATAGTAACATTGATACTCGCATTGATACACAATCACTGAATATCAAGCTCTGGAAGCAACTAGACATGATTGATAATAGAACAACATACAATATGGAAGAAATCAATACATTCAGCTTACATTTTTCTCTTTTTTCCTGCTTATAATCCTTTCTACTTCATATATCTTCCCTCGTTTCCTTGGTGGAGCACTGTTATACAGTACAACTGAGCTAAAATTGTTTAACTCGACATAGTTGGTTAATCGTGGACGTGGACGTTTAGCCGCCATTTTGAATTATTTTCGTAAATTTCGCGGTTTTCCGCTGTACCAAGTTTGGCTCAATGTCTCGAATTTCTGGCCATGTCTTCCATAGTGGCGGTCTCGAGAATATCTCCACCTCCATCGTTGGTTCGCATCAGCCGTCCAAGGTTTCGCGAAGCTTCTATGGACGTTTTCGACTTCTCTGTCAGAAGATAATACTTCTTTGCGGTCGCTTCGTTGTGAGCCATAAGGCTAGCTAATTTCCCACTCATTTCTGGCTTGTCGATGTGTACTTTGGTTACTGCTGCCTTACGAAACGAGGTGCAAGTTATTTTAACGTCCACTCCAGCCTTTTTAAACACAGATTGTACTGCCTTAGTGATGTGCCCAGAATTCATACCATTTCCATTCCAGGATAAGAATACTGGACCGTTGATTCGGGTTGTAACATGGGCTCGCATCACACCAACAAATACCGACATCCACGACTTCAGCTTTTCGCTCAATACGACACGAGCTGGTCCATGAACATGCGCCGTTTTATGTTTCTTCACTGTTATTAGATAATGGTCATCTTGTTTTCGGATGTTAGTAAATTCCTCCATCGTCAAATGAGCTAAGACACCTGGTCGATTGGCATTATCTATGAATATTTGGGTAAATAGGAAATCCCTGACAAGGGTGTAACTGGATTGGGTAACAGGGGTCGACTCGGCTGAATCAGAGTATTGTCCAATTATCTTAATAGCCTCTCGAGCTGCCGCACTTTTCTCCAGCTTCCTGATATTTGAAGGCGTCAAACGGTTAAGCATATCTTCCTCAAGCTTTTGCCATTTTCTTGTGTTAGACTCTCTCTTGTATGACGCAGACCACATCTTTACCTTTTCCCGCGCAGAGCTTACGTCCACCCAATTGAATTTGATGCTTTCCGGTTTGTCAGACAGCACAAACGAAAAGAAATGCCGCAGACTCATGAGGTACGACTTGATTGTGCCAGCTTCGTACTTTTTCTGCTTCACATGCACATTTAGAAAAACTTGACGGATTAACTTCAGGTCAAACAGGGACTGAATGTTCTCTGAATCATCGATGGCTTTTAGCAGGATATACAGCTGAGAACCATGTTGCATGACCGTTTTTTCATCTTTTTTGCTGCCATCAGGAGACGCCAACCACTCTTGAAACTCTGTGATTACAGGTGGTAATGTTGATTTTGTCTGCTGTTTCACATATTCCATGCTGCTGCTTTCATCTTCGTCATCGTCATTGCCATCGTCATCATTAAAACTACCATCATCATTATCATCATCATCATTATGGTCGTCATCATCATCATTATGGTCGTCATCATCATCATTATAGTCGTCATCATCATCATGGTCATAACGTCCACGCTTGTTTTCACCAATAACCTCATCATGGTCATAACGTCCACGCTTGTTTTCACCAATAACCTCTTTATTTTCATCCTGTTCTTCTTCATCTTCTTCTTCTTGTTCCTTGCGATGTTGGTGGCTTCGATCCACTTCCCATGTCTTCCTCTTTAACTGTTCTTCTTGCCACTTAATCATGGCATGCTTACGATTTGGAGCAACGGGAGCATCTACAATTGCACGTTGGTACATCGTTGATGCTTTATCTAACTTGTGCACCTTTTGCAAGTGCTTTGGTAAACGTCAAACAATCGAGTGGCAATCATCAATGGGACACTTGCGACGGCAACGATAATCTTTTTTCTTCGGTTCTTTGGTGAGTCGCTGTCTGATATTGTATTTTAATAGCACTTTCGAAGCAGCTTCCTTCGTCCAGTGATGCACATTTCGCATATGTCTTGGGAGATGCACGACCTTGGCATTACACATTACCAAGGGACACAAAATTTTTCTTCTCTGGGGTGCAGTAACATTTTGCTCACCAGATGATTTCCTCTGCTTATGACTTTCAACTGAAAGGTCTTCTTGTAATGACTTGCTTGAATGCCCTTGTTCACTTTCCTCATGGACATGGTGCATCTTTTGACGGGGCCCAACTTTCATCACTTGACTCACCACAACTTTCGCTTTCACAAGATTCTACAGTTTTCTGAAAAGTACATACATATACAGGGTAAATTGCACTCTAAAAAAGTTTGAAATGAGTCGCTAGCAAGTAACAACGAATCAGATAAAATTGTCCTTTGTTGCGAACCTGATTTTCACTAGAACAGTCTTCCATTTCTGTTGCCCTGTTCGATGTTGTCTGCAACATTTCTTCATTTATCAGCATATCAATGCTGTCAAGGTGTTCTTCTATCTCACATTGTTTTGTCTACAGAATGAATAAAAGTAGAATTTACTTGTTTCTTAATCAAGATGGTACATTACTTATCCTGGCATGTATTTCTACAACAATACAAGAAATTGGTATAAAATACTATATTTCATAACTTACTTCATCTGCTGGCAAAGTAAACTCATATTGAACAGTTCTGTCAATTTTTGTATCCTTAAAATCAACCTTCCACTTTCCATTAAAACTCTAAAAAATCATAAAATTGATTTTGTATAAACTTATGGAGTTTGCTAATTAATTGCAACAGATGATAATCTTTGTCCCTCTCCCCTCTTTAGAAGCAATCTTGGCACTTAAAAGACCTGTCATGCAACAAAATTTCAACTTTATTTCTACGAACATCATTGATAAGAGGTTAGGGTTGGCACATTTAACGTACATATTACCTGCATGATTAAAAAAGTGTCATAATCATTGCAGGTGATTTTATTCCTTAAAAAATCTATCATTATAATTAGCCCTACAATGTGACATAAAACAAGAATACTTACACCAACGATATCTTGAATTTCGGAAAAAACTGCCAGAATATGAGGCGCATTCTTTGCATTTTTCCCATATGTAAAACTATCCCTAAGGATTCTAATCGGTTTTTTCCCCTTTCTTTCCATTTTATGTACTATAAGAAGAAATACATAATATAAAAATTAGAGCTACACATTCCATAGTTACAGTTAAAAAACTTGTCTCACTGAACAAAACAGCTAAATTAATTAGATTCCCTAAGTTGCCAGGTGAAAACTCCCTGTAACAAATAAACCCCTTAACCATATCACATAAAAATGAAGTAGAGTAATGTTAATGCACCCTGAATTAAGTTCTATAAAAAACTAAGCATGTAGGAACATTATATAGAGCTACAAATTAGTTTAAACTAGTGTTTTTATGTTGAAAAACAAATACTTAAACAATGAAAAAACACATCTAGCCCCCTTAAGTAGCTAAGAAGAGTTCAGGCACACATGAAACTTCTGTAACTTATAAAGTGAAACAAGACAAGTATTTTGCTGGGCTAATCATTGATATAAGCCAACTGGTTCCATAGTTACAGTTAAAAAACGTGTCTCACTGAACAAAACAGCTAAATTAATTAGATTCCGTACGTTGCCAGGTGAAAACCCTCTGTAACAAGTAAACCCCTTAACCATATGACATAAAAATGAAGTAGAGTAATATTAATGCACCCTGAATTAAGTTCTATATAAAACTAAGCATGTAGGAACATTATTTAGAGCTATACATTAGTTTAAAGTAGTGTTTTGTGTTTGGAAACAAATAATTAAACTATGAAAAAACACATCTAGCCCCCTTAAGTAGCTAAGAAGAATTCAGGCACACATGAAACTTCTGTAACTTATAAAGTGAAACAAGACAAGTATTTTGCTGGGCTAATCATTGATAAGCCAACTGGTTCCATAGTTACAGTTAAAAAACATGTCTCACTGAACAAAACAGCTAAATTAATTAGATTCCCTAGTTGCCAGGTGAAAACTCTCTGTAACAAGTAAACCCCTTAACCATATGACATAAAAATGAAGTAGAGTAATATTAATGCACCCTGAATTAAGTTCTATATAAGACTAAGCATGTAGGAACATTATTTAGAGCTACACATTAGTTTAAACTGGTGATTTGTGTTTGAAAACAAATAATTAAACTATGAAAAAACACATCTAGCCCCCTTAAGTAGCTAAGAAGAGTTCAGGCACACATGAAACTTCTGTAACTTATAAAGTGAAACAAGACAAGTATTTTGCTGGGCTAATCATTGATATAAGCCAACTGGTTCCATAGTTACAGTTAAAAAACTGTCTCACTGAACAAAACAGCTAAATTAATTAGATTCCGTACGTTGCCAGGTGAAAACTCTCTGTAACAAGTAAACCCCTTAACCATATGACATAAAAATGAAGTAGAGTAATATTAATGCACCCTGAATTAAGTTCTATATAAAACTAAGCATGTAGGAACATTATTTAGAGCTACATTAGTTTAAAGTAGTGTTTTGTGTTTGAAAACAAATAATTAAACTATGAAAAAACACATCTAGCCCCCTTAAGTAGCTAAGAAGAGTTCAGGCACACATGAAACTTCTGTAACTTATAAAGTGAAACAAGACAAGTATTTTGCTGGGCTAATCATTGATATAAGCCAACTGGTTCCATAGTTACAGTTAAAAAACCTGTCCCACTGAACAAAACAGCTAAATTAATTAGATTCCGTACGTTGCCAGGTGAAAACCCTGTGTAACAAGTAAACCCCTTAACCATATGACATAAAAATGAAGTAGAGTAATATTAATGCACCCTGAATTAAGTTCTATATAAAACTAAGCATGTAGGAACATTATCTAGAGCTATACATTAGTTTAAAGTAGTGTTTTGTGTTTGAAAACAAATAATTAAACTATGAAAAAACACATCTAGCCCCCTTAAGTAGCTAAGAAGAGTTCAGGCACACATGAAACTTCTGTAACTTATAAAGTGAAACAAGACAAGTATTTTGTTGGGCTAATCATTGTTATAAGCCAACTGGTTTCATAGTTACAGTTAAAAAACATGTCTCACTGTACAAAACAGATAACTTAGTTAGATTCCCTAAGTTGGCATGTGAAAACTCTCTGTAATAAGTAAACCCCTTAACCATATCGCATAAAAATGAAGCAGAGTAATATTAGCGCACCCTGAATTAAGTTCTATATAAAACTAAGCACGTAGGAACATTATTTAGAGCTACACATTAGCTTAAAATAGTGTTTTGTGATTGAAAACAAATAAGTAAACTATGAAAAAACACATCAAGCCCCCTTAAGGAAGTAATAACAGTTCAGGCACACATGAAACTTCTGTAACTTATAAAGTGAAAAGAGACAAGTATTTTGCTGGGCTAATCATTGATATAAGCCAACTGGTTCCATAGTTACAGTTAAAAAACGTGTCTCACTGAACAAAACAGCTAAATTAATTAGATTCCGTACGTTGCCAGGTGAAAACTCTTTGTAACAAGTAAACCCCTTAACCATATGACATAAAAATGAAGTAGAGTAATATTAATGCACCCTGAATTAAGTTCTATATAAGACTAAGCATGTAGGAACATTATTTAGAGCTACACATTAGTTTAAACTGGTGATTTGTGTTTGAAAACAAATAATTAAACTATGAAAAAACACATCTAGCCCCCTTAAGTAGCTAAGAAGAGTTCAGGCACACATGAAACTTCTGTAACTTATAAAGTGAAACAAGACAAGTATTTTGCTGCGCTAATCATTGATATAAGCCAACTGGTTCCATAGTTACAGTTAAAAAACCTGTCTCACTGAACAAAACAGCTAAATTAATTAGATTCCGTACGTTGCCAGGTGAAAACTCTCTGTAACAAGTAAACCCCTTAACCATATGACATAAAAATGAAGTAGAGTAATATTAATGCACCCTGAATTAAGTTCTATATAAAACTAAGCATGTAGGAACATTATTTAGAGCTATACATTAGTTTAAAGTAGTGTTTGTGTTTGAAAACAAATAATTAAACTATGAAAAAACACATCTAGCCCCCTTAAGTAGCTAAGAAGAGTTCAGGCACACATGAAACTTCTGTAACTTATAAAGTGAAACAAGACAAGTATTTTGCTGGGCTAATCATTGATATAAGCCAACTGGTTCCATAGTTACAGTTAAAAAACCTGTCCACTGAACAAAACAGCTAAATTAATTAGATTCCGTACGTTGCCAGGTGAAAACCCTCTGTAACAAGTAAACCCCTTAACCATATGACATAAAAATGAAGTAGAGTAATATTAATGCACCCTGAATTAAGTTCTATATAAAACTAAGCATGTAGGAACATTATTAGAGCTATACATTAGTTTAAAGTAGTGTTTTGTGTTTGAAAACAAATAATTAAACTATGAAAAAACACATCTAACCCCCTTAAGTAGCTAAGAAGAGTTCAGGCACACATGAAACTTCTGTAACTTATAAAGTGAAACAAGACAAGTATTTTGCTGGGCTAATCATTGATATAAGCCAACTGGTTCCATAGTTACAGTTAAAAAACCTGTCTCACTGAACAAAACAGCTAAATTAATTAGATTCCGTACGTTGCCAGGTGAAAACTCTCTGTAACAAGTAAACCCCTTAACCATATGACATAAAAATGAAGTAGAGTAATATTAATGCACCCTGAATTAAGTTCTATACAAAACTAAGCATGTAGGAACATTATTTAGAGCTATACATTAGTTTAAAGTAGTGTTTTTTGTTTGAAAACAAATAATTAAACTATGAAAAAACACATCTAGCCCCCTTAAGTAGCTAAGAAGAGTTCACGCACACATGAAACTTCTGTAACTTATAAAGTGAAACAAAACAAGTATTTTGTTGGGCTAATCATTGTTATAAGCCAACTGGTTTCATAGTTACAGTTAAAAAACATGTCTCACTGTACAAAACAGATAACTTAGTTATAGATTCCCTAAGTTGGCATGTGAAAACTCTCTGTAATAAGTAAACCCCTTAACCATATCGCATAAAAATGAAGTAGAGTAATATTAGCGCACCCTGAATTAAGTTCTATATAAAACTAAGCATGTAGGAACATTATTTAGAGCTACACATTAGCTTAAAATAGTGTTTTGTGATTGAAAACAAATAAGTAAACTATGAAAAAACACATCTAGCCCCCTTAAGTAGCTAAGAAGAGTTCAGGCACACATGAAACTTCTGTAACTTATAAAGTGAAACAAGACAAGTATTTTGCTGGGCTAATCATTGATATAAGCCAACTGGTTCCATAGTTACAGTTAAAAAACATGTCTCACTGAACAAAACAGCTAAATTAATTAGATTCCGTAAGTTGCCACATGAAAACTCTCCGTAAGAAGTAAACCCATGTCAAGTTTAACCATGTCACATAAAAATGATGTAGAGTAATATTAATGCACCCGGAATTAAGTTCTATATAAAACTAAGCATGATTATATAATCATGTAAGGCTTGTAAGCAAACAGTCAATATTATAGAATCATGTAAGCAAACAGACGAAACAGTCAATATTTTAGAATCATGTAACACAAACAGTCAATATTATAGAATCATGTAAGCAAACAGTCAATATTATAGAATCATATAAGCCAACAGTCAATATTATAGAACCATGTAAGCCAACAGTGAATATTATAGAATCATGTAAGCCAACACTCAATATTATAGAACCATGTAAGCCAACAGTCAATATTATAGAACCATGTAAGCCAACAGTCAATATTATAGAATCATGTAAGCCAACAGTCAATATTATAGAATCATGTAAGCCAACAGTCAATATTATAGAACCATGTAAGCCAACAGTCAATATTATAGAATCATGTAAGCAAACAGTCAATATTATAGAATCATGTAAGCCAACAGTCAATATTATAGAAGCGTGTAAGCAAACCAGGGGCGAAGCGAGTGTCATTGTTTTGGGGGGGTGCACGACCGCATTTTGCCGATAAAAGGGCGTGGCTAAGTGCGCAATTAGGGCGTGGTCGAAGGTGATATAAAAGGCAATAACTCCCAAGTAAAATATTTTATTCATGTGATTCCTAAATTTAAAACTTCTAAAATGTTGAAACGTGTGTGCATTTTATAAAATTTCCCACTACAGTATATACAGACATACAGTTCTAGTCTTCTCTATGATATGGA